TAATTTTTTTAGCAAATCGAAGATAAAACTATCTAATTTCACAATGAATATCCAGCCTTTTGTTAAATGCTAGTCATTTAGTCATTATACAGGGTTATTTGAAAGGTTGTTCTATAAGCCTAATTTTAAACTTAAATACTAATACTTAAATACTTATAATATTTTTGACAAACGTAAAGAAATGTTTTGCGACAGCGTAAAGTGACTTTAATTTAATTTCAGGAAAGCATCCAGAGGCTTTCAAAGAATTAAGTGTTCAGAAGTCACAAGAAAACCATCCGACAGAAATAAAAGTTTTTTTACAAAATCCCCCCAAAAAAATGAAAATACAACAAACTATTAAAGAATCTTTTACTACCCAGTGGAGTGAGATTGATAGTAGAACAAAAGAAATAAACTCAGCCGATATCCATAGTGGAAAACATTGGTTTTGTAAGGTTAATAAAAAAAATGAAGCCAAAATATAAAAGTCCTAGCTGAAAACATATAACCAACGTAATAATTCCAGATATATATAACAGAACCAAAAATTGAAATTATGACAATTTGGGACATACCACAAGAAAAAGTACAGGTTATTTTACGTGACAATGGTGCTTATATGGTCAAAGCCCTTAATGACTCCATGTACGACCCGATCCCTTGCTTCATTCACACGTTGCAATTGGTGGTAAACGAAGCCGTATGTGTTCAAGAAAATGTAACTCAGATGATAATCGCATCAAGACCTATTGTAACCCATTTTCACCACTCTGAATCGGCCCAAGAAAAATTAAAAGACCATCAACGAGAACTTGGTTTACCTTTTCATCAACTCATCCAAGATGTCCGCACGAGATGGAATAGCACGTTTTACATGCTAGCTCGATTGTGTGAACAAAAGAGGGCGGTTACACTATATATTTCTGAAAATGATGTAAAGTTTCAGAATCTGTCTGTAGCAGAGTGGCAACTGTTAGAAGAATGTATGTTGCTTCTTAAGCCGCTAGAAGAAATTACTAAATTGGCAAGCTCCTCCTCTGCCACCATTTCCTCCGTAATTCCGAATGTAAAAACATTAATAAAATACTTATCGAAAGACGATCTCGTTTCAGAAAATTTAACTGAAATGAGACTTACTTTATTGAAAGGGGTAAAGATAAGATTTGAAAATATAGAAATGGAAAAAAATTATTATATGGCAACGTTACTTGATTGTCGATTTCGTTTTAAATTATTCTCATCTGAAAACATATCTGTTGTAAGCCGTACCTTTTGTTTAGAAGCGCTTCAAAGGGAATTTAATTCAGAGAACAGCAGTAGCGATGATAGAGATAACGATGAAGAGTTACCTTCAACAAGTGGGATCAATCGAAGTCATGGTATTTTCTGGGACTGCTATAAAGACATAGCTTCGTCTAGTAAGGCCGTTAAAGACTTCAATCCAAGAAATAGGATAGCAATTGAACTGGACTGTTATTTATGTGAAGAACTCTTAAAACGAGATGAAGATCCATTTGTTTGGTGGAAAACAAACAGTTTCAAATATTCTAAAATGAGTTGTCTACACATAAAACTCAATATTCGGCGGAATTGCCAAATATTCGGCCGAATAGGCGAATACTAAAAATGAGGCCGAATAAGCCGAATAGCGAATAATTATTCGGCTTCGGTCCCAACTCTAGAAATAAGCAATGCGGGGAGAGTGGGGTTCCGGCCAATCGGAACAGAGTTAAAGAAATCCGACAACCGACATTATTTGACAAATTTTGGTAAAAACCGTGTTGCAATCCACCAGGTCGTTTTCGAAATAACCGCATCCTACTAAACCGCGATTTTCCGCGAAACTATAAGGAATATCGAAAAAATAAAATATACCACTCATTAAGAACACATCAGGCTACCATCTGTTCAAAACTCAAATTTTTTCGTACAATAGTTTTTGAGAAAAAAATCGCAAAGTTGCCGGTACCGTAAAAAAACGGGTACTTTTTTCATTTAACTCGCGATAAAACGAAAACCGCGGATCCGAAAATGTTCAAATTAACATAATATGTTAGGTAGAAATGTTCAGTGATTACAATAAGCTTTACCGCAATTTTTTTCATCAAGCGGTTACGAAGATATCGATCCCTAAAGTGAGGGGCCTTGACTTTTTGCACGGATAGTAGTGTTACTTGTAAGCTGATGAATATGTGTATGTAGACTTTTGTGAGCTGTTAATTTTACTTTAATTTTTTTCCTAAGATTGTATTATGATAAAATAGTTATAATGTTTCAAAATAATTGTCTACATTCAGGTAGTAATAAATATTTTTAAAACTAAATGTTCAATAATATGACGTATTATTTAACTGGAGTGAATTTACTTGGTATATGTAGACTTTTGTGACTAACTGTATATGGTTAGCACGGTCGATGACGTCACAAAAAGTGACAGGTCGAAACTTTAAAGTGATTTTTCAGTAAGTTTTACACTTTTCCGCCTTTTTTTTTATTTGTAACGGCTTATTTGAGTGATTTCCCATCGATTAAAAAAAAATTGTCAATTTTTAAGCAACATGATGATTCTTGAATTATACCCAAATATAAGTACCTTTCGCATCGATTTTCTTTTTGTTGGTGTGATGAGACAACACTCGGAGTCATCGGGCTGTCTAGCTCCAAAGATCTCTTCTCCAATAACTCCGTAATACCTTTATTATCAGCTTCGAGTTCGCATTTAAACTTGTGCAACTCAGTATCAAGTCGTCTTAAATACTTATCGACCAAATCGTACATTTGATTTGCCAAATGGACCTTCTCGTCGGCTTCATCTAACGTTTTATAATACTCATTTNACATCCGAATGTAAAATGACATATCACGTTGAAATCCTTATGAATTAAGCTTTCGTTTAAGATATCACGCATCAAAATATCTTAATCCCTCCATATGATATAAACAAAATAGTTCAAGCTTGTTCAAGCTTGATGTTAAATATTAGATGCTCTATCAATTAACTCGATGAAAAATGTTGCGTACACTGCATTAAAGCAAGTTATATCACATTCAAATCCTTATTATTCAAACTTTCTTTTAATATATAACACATGAAGATATCTCAATTTTTCTAGAAGAGACAAGAGCTTTACTCCAAGCCTGGTTTTCACCAATTGAAGCTGTTGTGATTAACGTAGTCTTACCAACGTTGAGTCTTCCAATATAAATCTTCACATTCCATCGATTTCCTTATAAATTAAGTGTTCTTTTAAGACATTACACATTGATATATCTTGAATTTCCCAATACTTACAAAATGATATGCATTTATTACGCTTTCCTCATTTTTAGGAATAACCAAAACTTTGATTACAGCCGTTCTACACATCCAAATGTAAAATGACATATCACGTTGAAATCCTTATGAATTAAGCATTCGTTTAAGATATCACGCATCAAAATATCTCAATCCCTCCATATGATATAAACAAAATAGTTCAAGCTTGTACAAGCTTGATGTTAAATATTAGNATTACACAAGAAGTAGAGGATTTGATTGTGACTATCACTCAGCATCTAGAAACTCCAAATTCTGAAATACCTTATACTCAGGGGCGTGCAGGTAAATTATTACTGTTAACTCATCTCAGTTTTTTTTTTGTTTGTTATTGCAATAGTTCGATAATAGAGTATATTTGAATATAAATTTTAGATTCCAGCGAGAACCAAGCTAGTTTACTTTGGGAGCATTTTGATATAAAGGCTAAGCAGGAATTCACCGCGTCCACACCTACACGTTTCTGCCGAAGCACAAATAAAGCAGTACCTAGACCTACCATTGGTAGATAGGAAGCTGAATCCTTTAGACTTTTGGGAGTCCAAGAAGCAACATCAGTGCCACCTGAGAGGGTATTCTCAAAAGCAGGCGAGTTAACAAAGGACAGAAGGAATAGGTTAAGCAGCAATATGATCAACGAAATCATGTTTTTAAATAGTAATATGTAGTGCAATAAATATTTTGTTTGAAATATGTATTTTGACTGACCATCTTCCATATTATCATGGGGAATCAAATAATAATTCTTTTTTTACTTCATATTAAACAACTAGTAATGAATACAAACATAAAACGTGGATTCTACTAATCATTTGAGGCTCAATTTAATTTAAATATTAAAATGAGACATTCAGAGAAGTCGGCAAATTCCCAAAACAGCCTTGAAGTAGTATGTCAGTCAATATTTTATATAGAATTTTATTTTAACTTTCAACATCGAATAGAAATATAATCGAATGGAAAAATAATCGATTATTTTATTATAATCGATATCTCGAATGATCGTGTATAATTGGTTAATCGATTATGGTCATTCGATTATGCCCATCACTAGTCCGACGGTCGTTGAAACTCATGACAACTTGTCGCCGATCAGTCCGCGGCACGTCCACGGGTCGGTTGGAACAGCACTTTTCAACTGGGCAGGCTTGTGACCGTCAATTGACAGTCAAAAGTGCGGTTGGAACGAACCTAACATAGAGCTCCTGGACTGGCCTGCGTAATCTGTGGACTTAAACCCCATAGTACATTTATGGGGTTTATTGAAGCGTAAAGTTAGGTGTCGCACTACAATCGCTTGTGCCTAGAGTCGAATAGTATAAGTCCCGAAGATAGCAAAAAAATGTTGTGTCCCCTTTACCAAAAAGAATTTTGACCCTGATTAGAGCAAAAGGTGGGCCCACTAAGTATTAATTTTTCGTTAACAATAAACATTATAAACCTAAACAAGTTGTTTCAATTTAATTTGATATTTCCAAAGTTATCCTGGGTGCTCAATACTTATGGCCAACACTGTACATATGATTAACGCGGTCGATGACGTCACAAAAAGTGACAGGTCGAAACTTAAAGTGATTTTTAAGTAAGTTTTACACCTTTTTTTTAATTGTTAACAGCTTACTTGAGTGATTTCCCATCGATTAAAAAAAAAAGTCGATTTTTAAGCGACATGATGATTCTTGAATTATACCCAAATATAAGTACCTTTCGCATCGATTTTCTTTTTGTTGGTGTGATGAGACAACACTCGGAGTCATCGGGCTGTCTAGCTCCAAAGATCTCTTCTCCAATAACTCCGTAATACCTTTATTATCAGCTTCGAGTTCGCATTTAAACTTGTGCAACTCAGTATCAAGTCGTCTTAAATACTTATCGACCAAATCGTACATTTGATTTGCCAAATGGACCTTCTCGTCGGCTTCATCTAACGTTTTATAATACTCATTTCGGACATTTTGAAATTCACCCTCAACCGACGGTGATAAATCGTTGGGGTAACGCTTACAATCGGCGAATAAGATTTTAACCCGTTTTTCTAAATCGTCTAAGTTATCTAAAAAATTAATTTTTAATTTTAAGGATTTAATTTTGTGAGGTTTTACTTTGTACTGATAGGTCTAGCTCTCGCATTTCCGTGAAGCGATCCCGCAATTCTTGGGGAAGGTGCTCGATCACTAAAATTGTTGTTGTCAAAATTTGACGGTTGTGTTTTTTGAGGTTATGAAAAACGTGTTTACTCACTTTCGAGGTAATCTTCTAAATACAACATGTTTTCTAATCACTGGTTAAAAGGAATAAGATGAATTATAACACAGACCGTTTTAGTATTAGTTTTATTGTTAAATAATGACTATTTGTTTAATTTTTTTTGTAAAAGATTATTGACGTTACCGACCAATAAAACACTCTAACTTATCAACATTCATCAATCAAAAAAAATTAATAAATTAATTCATTAAAACGAAATAAGCTATAATTATTTATTAATTATTCACAATTAACAAAATCAACAATAAATTACAAATAATTTATTTCATTCACCCCATTTTTTTAACACCAAATTTTAACCAAGCAAAGAAATCTACCTTATCAACTTACTTTCAATTTAAATTATTTATTAAATAAACGATTTCTTTTTATTATTAATTAACTAATTAATTATTTGATTCAATTTATTTTAATCTAAATAAAAATTTACATTATTGCTAAAAAAATTTTTTGACATTTATTTTTTTTAGGTTAAATTTCCTAACCTACAAAAATGTCGTGGTTAATCACAACAATTAATTGTTTAAAACAAACTAAAAATCTTACCCCACAAAAAACTACAATTCGATTTCGATACCATGCTGAGAAAATAGCGAGAGGGCCTTTAATTCGACGACATGGTTATGAAGACCATATTCAACAATCCGGTTTAATGCCAAGAGTTAAAGGGGCTAAAAAGTTGCCAATGCCTACGTATAGGCCGAAAGATGCTTGGTGTGAAAAGCGGGCTTTATTTGGGCAAAACGATTACATAGATATCTTGGGAAATGAGAAATTGCATCCTACAAGGATCTTGTATAATGTACCATCATGGTTACGAGGAGTGTCAGGGAATGAATTTCAAGTTGCAATTAAAAAGCGATATGCTTTGGGTCAAACTAAGTATCCCTTTGCTAGGCCTACAAAGTGGAATGAATTGAATAAGAGGATACGGTATTTGTATAGGTTTATGAATAGGAAGACTCCAACGGGGTATTCAAAACAATAATTTGTATTTGTGAATTATGTTAATTAGAAATAAAAATTATAACTTAATACATATTTTATTTTTATTATATATTAAATATCCTAATTGTTTTACAGAAAATAATTTTTAAAGTTATTCCTGTTACAATTTTAAGTTGGATTAAGTTTAAAATTTCTTTCCTCTAAAGCGACTATTTCTAGAATTTTTAAATTTATCATAATTTAAACGTGAATTTTTATTTTATAATCTCCATAAATTGCAATCTTTAATTGCAAATACATAGTTTTACAGAAAAAAAAATCATAAAAGTAGCTATCTAACACTATTTAGTTAACTTTGTCTTTGATACAAGACATATTTTATTACAGGCCAAGAGATTTAGAAACTGAAACTTCGAGTAAATTCACCTGCAGGATACTTCACCAAAATGAAAAAAAAAATAATAAAAATGAATTTAATGTGTCCCATGGACACAAGCAATTAAGAAAAGTTCTTAATAGCCTTCCGCAAATAGTTTCTTGTCTTCTACATGTAGTTTCTAGTCTTCTGCAAGCAGTATCTTGACTTCTGCATGCACTCTTCAATTTTTTTCAAGCAATATCTAGTCTTCTTCAAGCTGTATTAAGTCTTTTATTAGCATGTATAGTATTCTACAACGACATTCATGTCTTCTGCAGGCAATTTATAGTTTTGTGCAAACAGTATCTTGACTTCTTTATGCATTATTAATTCTTTTTCAAGTAATATTCAATCATTTCCAATCTGTATCAAGTCTTTTATTTATTAGGTACTTCGCTTTTTTTAATGGAACGCCTTGTTTACGAGATGTTAATGGTAATTCGAAGCATAACACTAAAAACATTTAGAACAAAAGTTGTAGCAAATTTTATTCTTAACAATATTGCTCTCTAGCACTTTTGCTGTCGATGCATAGATATCGACAAAAATTCGAATATATGAATATTTGATTAAATTAGTTGTTTTGCAAGTCGTTAATGGTAACAGTCGGGAAACAAAGCATGTTATAAAAGAAACTTTTAGAACAAAAGTTGTAGCAGGTTTTATTCTTAACAATATTGTTCTCTTGCACTTTTGCTCTCAGATGCATAGATACTTACAGAAGTAGGAAAATATGAAAATTTTACGAATTTCGTTGTTTTACAAGTTCTTAATGGTAACATTCGGGAAACGAAGCATGTTATAAAAAAACATTTAGAACAAAAGTTGTAGCAAATTTTATTTTTAACAATATTGTTCTCTTGCACTTTTGCTCTCAGATGCATAGATACTGACAGAAGTAGGAAAATATGAAAATTTTACGAATTTCGTTGTTTTACAAGTTCTTAATGGTAACATTCGGGAAACGAAGCATGTTATAAAAAAACTTTTAGAACAAAAGTTGTAGCAAATTTTATTGTTAACAATATTGTTCTCTTGCACTTTTGCTCTCAGATGCATAGATACTGACAGAAGTAGGAAAATATGAAAATTTTACGAATTTCGTTGTTTTACAAGTTCTTAATGGTAACATTCGGGAAACGAAGCATGTTATAAAAAAACTTTTAGAACAAAAGTTGTAGCAAATTTTATTGTTAACAATATTGTTCTCTTGCACTTTTGCTCTCAGATGCATAGATACTGACAGAAGTAGGAAAATATGAAAATTTTACGAATTTCGTTGTTTTACAAGTTCTTAATGGTAACATTCGGGAAACGAAGCATGTTATAAAAAAACTTTTAGAACAAAAGTTGTAGCAAATTTTATTGTTAACAATATTGTTCTCTTGCACTTTTGCTCTCAGATGCATAGATACTGACAGAAGTAGGAAAATATGAAAATTTTACGAATTTCGTTGTTTTACAAGTTCTTAATGGTAACATTCGGGAAACGAAGCATGTTATAAAAAAACTTTTAGAACAAAAGTTGTAGCAAATTTTATTGTTAACAATATTGTTCTCTTGCACTTTTGCTCTCAGATGCATAGATACTGACAGAAGTAGGAAAATATGAAAATTTTACGAATTTCGTTGTTTTACAAGTTCTTAATGGTAACATTCGGGAAACGAAGCATGTTATAAAAAAACTTTTAGAACAAAAGTTGTAGCAAATTTTATTGTTAACAATATTGTTCTCTTGCACTTTTGTAATCAGATGCATAGATACTGACAGAAGTACGAAAATATGAAAATTTTACGAATTTCGTTGTTTTACAAGTTTTTAATGGTAACATTCGGGAAACGAAACATGTTATAAAAAACTTTTAGAACAAAAGGTGTAGCAATTTTTATTCTTAACAATATTGCTGTCTTGTGCTTTTGCTCTTAGATGCATAGATATCGAAAAATGTATGAATATATGAAAATTTGATGAATTTCGTTGTTTTACAAGATGTTAATAGTAACACTTTGAAAGCGGAGCATGTTATAAAAAAACTTTTAGAACAAAAGTTGTAGCAAGCTTATTGTTAACAATATTGCTGTCTTGTGCTTTTGCTCTTATGTTAGACGCATAGATATCGAAAAAGTATGAATATATGAAATTTGATGAATTTCGCTCTTTTACAAGTCGTTAATAGTAATATTTTGAAAACGGAGCATGTTATAAAAAAACTTTTAGAACAAAAGTTGTAGCAAGCTTTATTGTTAACAATATTGTTCTCTTGCACTTTTGCTGTCAAATGCATGGATACTGACAGAAGTACGAAAATATGAAAATTTTACGAATTTCGTTGTTTTACAAGTTGTTAATGGTAACATTTGGGAAACGAAGATTGTTATAAAAAATTTTTTAGAACGAAAGTTGTAGAAAATTTTATTCTTAACAATATTGCTTTTTTGCATTTTTGCTCTTGGGCGCATAAATACCGACATAAGTACGAAAATATGAAACTTTTATGAATATCGTTTTTCAGGGTGTTAATGGTATTGGGAAACGGAGCATGTCATACAAAAAATTTTAGAACAAAACTTGTAGCAAATCTTTTTCTTAACAATATTGCTGTCTTGTACTTTTGCTCTGAGATGCATCAATATTGACAAAAATACGAATATATGAAAATTTGATGAATTTCGTTGTTTTACAAGTCGTTAATAGTAACACTTTCAAAACAGAGCATGTTATAAAAAAACTTTTAGAACAAAAGTTGTAGCAAGCTTTATTGTTCTCTTGCACTTTTGCTGTCAGTGCATAGATACTGACAGAAGTACGAAAATATGAAAATTTGATGAATTTCATTCTTTTACAAGTTGTGAATATGAAACTTTTATGAATATCGTTGTTTTTCAAGGTGTTAATGGTATCGAGAAACGGAGCATGTCATACAAAAAATTTTAGAACAAAAGTTGTAGCAAATCTTATTCTTAACAATATTGCTGTCTTGTACTTTTGCTCTGAGATGCATAAATATCGACAAAAATACGAATATATGAAAATTTGATGAATTTCGTTGTTTTACAAGTTGTTAATAGTAACACTTTGAAAACGGAGCATGTTATAAAAAAACTTTTAGAACAAAAGTTGTAGCAAATTTTATTCTTAATAATATTGCTCTCTTACACTTTTGCTCTTAGATGCGTAATAATNTATATCACATTCAAATCCTTATTATTCAAACTTTCTTTTAAGATATAACACATGAAAATATCTCAATTTTTCTAGAAGAGACAAGAGATTTACTCCAAGCCTAGTTTTCACCGATTGAAGCTGTTGTGAGTAACGTAGTCTTACCAACGTTGAGTCTTCCAATGTAAATCTTCACATTACATCGATTTCCTTATAAATTAAGCGTTCTTTTAAGACATTACACCTTGATATATCTTGAATTTCCCAATACTTACAAAATGATATGCATTTATTACGCTTTCCTCATTTTTAGGTATAACCAAAACTTTGATTACAGCCGTTCTACATATCCGAATATAACATAACATATCACGTTGAAATCCCTATTAATTAAGCATTCGTTTAAGATATCACGCATTAAAATATCTCAATCCCTTCAAATGATATAAAACAAAATGTTCAAGCTTGATGTTAAATATTAGAAACTCTATCAATTCACTCACATTTACTCACATAATATAACACATGAAGAAAGTCTCTCAATTTATCTGGAGGAAACAAGATTTACTTCAAGTCTAGTACCGACAACTTTGTCCACTTTGCGATTTTTTCCCAAAAGCTCTCTGAGGGAATAATTTCAATTTTGAACAAGTGGTAGCCTGATGTGTTCTTAATGAGAGGCATATTTTATTTTTTTGGTATTCCGTACGGTTTCACTAAATTTCATAATTTTTTAATCTAGGTTACTACACCACTTCCTCTGCCGTTTCTATTACAGTGGTGTAACTCGGTGGGGAAGGGGTTTTGAACAAAAAGTTATATGAAAGACCCCCCTTAATTTTTGCTGAAAAAACCTCTCCTTGAAATCTTTCGCATCAATTTAGAAAAACCCTGTATATTATAAAAACTAAAAAGAAAATAATATCGATATTAAACTTAAACTATTAACCATATAGAGAGTGCTAAGCACATCCCAATTAAACCTATTATTTATAGTTATTGCTGTGCTTTCTGAAAAAAAAAGAAGGTGTTCCAATTTGTCAAACAAAAGAAACAAACGGGCGGTGAAGCTTTGTTAATAGATATTACGAGTGACAATTTGAGCCAAGTTAAAATTTCTGTAGAATGTTCATGGAAGATTTAAAATTTCTATTAAATTTGATTGGACCTGACATTTCAAGACAAGATACAAGTTTAAAAAAAGCAATTACGGCAAAAGAAAGATTGTTATTAACCCTTCACTTCTGTGCAACGGGTGACTCCTATCCTAGCCTTAAATGTTTGTTTACAATATCAATGTCTGCAATATGTTACATCATTCCCGAGGTGTGTACGGCGATAATTGATGCTTTGAAGGAGTATGTGCAGGTAAATTAAATAAAAAAATACTTGATTGTTATGAAAAATATCTTTAATGTTTACGTATGCCTTTAAATATCAATCACGTTTTAAAGTTGGAGACAAAGTTACCTATGTATTTTACCAGTAGTAGAATATTTGTTTTCTTCGGGTCTTTTGCAGTATTTTCTGTATTCTCGACTTTGAAAGTGTAAACTGTGAATAGGTTTTCTGAATGAGGTTTTACTTGAATAACTGCTAGTAGTGGTGATGATGGAATTTCGGTATTATAAGATAAACATTTTTGACACACATGTTGCACATGTTGACGACTGTAAGGAATTGTAAGAATTGGGACTTGATATATTTATGTTATTGTTGTTTTTTTTTTCTTTACGGTCTTTCTTTCTGTTAGGTTGAATGGAAGATTATGGTTGACCTGAACTCCGCCTATAGCGGATATATGCGGATATAGCGGATATATGTTCGGGCTTTTTTCTCAATAACTAAATTAAATTTGTTTTATAATATTTTGTCTTATTTTTTGTATTTTTATTATTTCTTTTTCTTTTGAAAATCATTCTTGTACCGAATAAGGTATATTATTTATATATTATATTATTTCACAAGATTGTACATAAGATTGTAATTATAAAATTGCCCGAATAAAGTGATTATTATTATTATATTGGGACTGGGAGTACTACTGAATAGTGTCTGAAACTGTAGATTCGAAAAACTTGAAAATGCATCATATTTTCCTATGTCCGCATCAAAAATAATGTTGTACTAATTTCGAACACTGATCTGAATCAAGGACAGTAGAATTTAACAGGACTGCTACATCCATTGTATTTTTGTAGTCCACTACGGGTTGGTTGCCCGCCCTCTACGTCACACTATTTGCCACGCCTGGTAACTGTCTGTGTTTTTAGAGGTTATATGATAGACATTAATACGTATAAAAACATAAAACTTCAAAAATAATATGAATACGTCTATGATATAACCTCTAAAATAAACAGGAAACGCATAGACCATAACAACAGCTGGGCGTGGAAAATGGTGTGACGTAGTTTACGGGCAAGTTGTCACAACAATGGATGTAGCAGTCCTTTGGATCTGAATAGCTGTTCAGTTTGCCTGCCACATACTGTCCAAATATATCATTGTTGTTTTTGGCAGACTTTTTGGCCACAGATTGTTTTAATATTTCGTATGCTACATCGATTCTAGTATCATGCCTCGCACTTTGTTTTTGAGTTTTCATAATATTGGTATTCGTACTAGTTTGATGATCTTCTCTTTCGGTGTATGTAGCGTTAGAATCCTGATTGGTGGTGGAAATGTCTTCAGTTTCGTTTGTTTTATTCTAAAACAATCGTAAAAACAGATATCGTCAAAATTGCCAAAGTTATTATTTGTTTCAGATGCCAAAAAATCCTGAAGAATGGTTGCCAATAGCCAAAGGATTTGAAGAACGATGAAATTATCCTAATTGTTTAGGTGCAATTGATGGCAAACACTGTGTATCGCGGGCACCTGTCAATAGTGGGAGTAATTACTTTAATTATAAATCAATATTTAGTATAGTGTTACTTGGCGTTGTTGATTATAATTATAATTTTTTATTTGCTGGTATGAGGAGTGTTTTCAAGTACGACTTTTTGTAAAAACTGCATGCAGGAAATCTTGGAATACCAGAGAATTCTATTCTTTCTGGAAGAACACAGAAGCTGCCTTACGTTTTTATCGCAGATGTTGCGTTTACACTATCATTTATTAAAACCATACATTAAAACCGAATATTTAATTATAGGCTCTCAAGAGGGCGTAGAGTTAGCCATTACTACTAAGCCCAGATAAAGCAACACGTGTTGTTTTAAGTTGTATCTACCTAAACAATATTTTAAGAAAAAGTAAAACATCTTGAAAAATATATACACCACCTGGCACCTATGATACTGTTCTCCGATGCAGTTACAAACAGAATCTCTAATCGCTTTAAGAAGTCTGCCTAGAAAGACTTTTGCCCATAATGAACAGATTAGGCAAGAATTTATGGAGTATTTTACAACATCGGGTCGAGTCTCGTGGCAAGAAGATAAATAAGTAATATACATAAATAATTGTAAAATTTGTATACAAAAATAAATGCTTGCTTACCTCGTTAGTATTTTGGGTCTCCTAGGTTCAAATAAGACTTTTAAAAGAATACCACGTAGCCGCTCCATGAGATGCCAATATGATTTCTTAATATTACTATTAAGAATTAAACAAAATTAAGATTAATAATGCAAACAGAGATAATTTTATACCTTGTGTAAATTGACTGCTTGGTCTGGATATTATATGTATTCCGGAAACTGAGTGTGGGAGCCAACTGATTTGTTGATCGTTAATTCTGACAACGTGGTTTTGTTCTAATGATATCATTTTCTACCTCAANATTTTTAACAATATTGTTCTCTTGCACTTTTGTAATCAGATGCATAGATACTGACAGAAGTACGAAAATATGAAAATTTTACGAATTTCGTTGTTTTACAAGTTCTTAATGGTAACATTCGGGAAACAAAACATGTTATAAAAAGCTTTTAGAACAAAAGTTGTAGAAAATTTTATTCTTAACAATATTGCTCTTTTGCATTTTTGCTCTTAGATGCATAAATACCGACATAAGTACGAAAATATGAAACTTTTATGAATATCGTTGTTTTTCAAGGTGTTAATGGTATCGAGAAACGGAGCATGTCATACATAAAATTTTACAACAAAAGTTGTAGCAAATCTTATTCTTAACAATATTACTGTCTTGTACTTTTGCTCTGATATGCATAAATATCGATAAAAATAAGAATATATGAAAATTTGATGAATTACGTTGTTTTACAAGTTGTTAATAGTAACACTTTGAAAACGGAAACAAATTTAGAACAAAAGTTGTAGCAAATTTTATTCTTAATAATATTGCTCTCTTACACTTTTGCTCTTAGATGCGTAATAATTGAAGTTTTGAAAATCAGTAGGTTAAGTCGAATATCGGTAGACTATCTTTTATATTGGTAGATGTACTGATAAATTGGTAGGGTTGACAATGTTGCTCTAATTCACCAAATCACCGGATTTTTAAACATTTATTACAGTTTGTCATTCGCTTGATTTGTTCAATTATTTTTTTATGTTTAAATACCTACTCCGAGCGCTCACTGACCGATAAAGCGAGAGAGGGCGACAATCCTTAACAACGGTCAGAAAACTGCGAGAAGAGGAAAATACCAACATTGAGGGTCAACTTTATGGTGCTGGAATAGCTGACTAATGGTAAAATCCTATGGAAACTCATTTTTTTAAATTTATATGCGAACTCTCGCGTTCCAAAATTTTAAAGCGCTTTTTCTCGAAACTATATTTGAACTGCATCTTTAGAAATAGATTATCTAAGGAAAAGCGTAGGGATTTTTCGAAATGCCTACGCATGCCATATTTACAAAAATTAATTTCTTTACAAACCGCTACACTTTTCTTTAGATTTTGAGCTAAACTTTGAAAAGAACTTTCGTTTTCTATTCTAGGTTATGATTTGCAACTTCTATAGTACATCGCGTAGAAGAGCGCCACGAAAAACAACAAACCCGGATTTAATCTGTTGTACGACGACTATTAATAAAAAACATTTAACGAAATTCATGAATATAGCTTTTAAGATGTATACAATAAGCCTACGTCATCTGTCTTTTTACCTTAATATTCCCAATTGAAAAAAATCCCAAAGATAACCTTTGAAAATAGGCCTCTACACTGATATTACGCCTGAAGGCATGGTTTTCAAAAACTATCACGGAATTATGCAGAGCAGCTGTGAATAAAGTTATCATATCCAGAATGATCGGCAATATTCGAAACAAATAGGCACCCGAAGAAGAAGGAATTGTGTAGCGCAACCTCACAGATCCGTCTCGCTTGATATTAAAATCATTTTAATTTTTTTTTAAAAGGCTATGTACTGATCCAAAAGTGTCAATTTAACAGTTTTGGGCGGCAAAATAATCTGTTTCATTTAGCAACAAACCTTACAAAGTACTTCCTAAGAAATCAACTTGACCAACAAGAGGAGGAATCATAGAAATAGTTAATTTTGTTTCTAAATTTATTCTACTATAACAACTAAATATACAACTAAAATAAGCAATACAAATTAATACAAAGTCAACGTAACAATGTTTCTTGATTTTCTTTTTAACTTATAAACTATTCTACTTAATTCATTAAAACGTTAATTCGGAGTTTAATGTTCTTTTAAATTCCAGATACTTTCGAAATAAATTCGCGTAAATTTGGTACGCTTGCGTAAACACCGGGATAAGATGGACGTGCGCATCCATATCCCCAAGAAACAATCCCGATTAATTCCCCATCAACAACTAAAGGACCACCACTATCACCCTAAAAAAACAAAAAATTAATTTAAATAAGGAAAAAGAATTAATATAAAAATCTTACTTGACAAGCATCTTTTCCACCAACTTTTTCCCCAGCACACATCATCCTATCAGTAATCGATCTACCCCCATAAGCAGCATTACACTCTTCATTACTAACAACTGTAACTCGAACAGCTTGTAATTGCGACGAAGTACTTCCGCCTTCCTTAAGAGTTCCCCATCCACTCACCACCGATAATTTCCCAACCGGAAGTTGTTGATTAACCTTTGGAAGACCCACGACATTAACACCAGCTTCAAATTTAAGATTAGAACTCAATTCTAATAAACTTATGTCGTAATCAATCGTTGATGAATCGTATTGGGGATTTTGATGGATTTTTTTAACCGAAATCACTTGACCACCGGATCCACGAATTGAGGAACCAGCTCGAACACTCAATAATAATGCTGAAGATCCGTCAGTGCAATGAGCAGCAGTTACCGCCCATTTTGCGGAAATGATAGAAGCACCACAAATGTGGCTACCCAAATATTGAAGGGAAAGTTGATAAGGGTAGTTTTTGATGTCCACTGATTCCCCACCGATGATTCTTCCATCAAGAGAAGGTACTTTACGAGGTAAAGTATCTTTTTGGAGAGCTGAGAAGATATTTATTAATTAAATTTGTAAAAAAATAATTATTCAGTTAATTACCAGATATGGAGAGAAGAAAGCAGGAGAAAACCACGATTTTAATCATTTTGCTTAGAATTATTTTTCGATTTGATTTCAATTGGAGTTGGATTGGTTTTTATATGAGGAATTGAGAGAGAGATTTGGTAATTTTCTCAGTTAAAATAGGGGGTTTTGAACTTATTCTTTTATTATGATGGGAGATTGTTGTAATTTTATGTGGAAATTTTGAAATTTTTATTTTGTTATATTTATATATATGTATAATGCTGTGATTTGTTTTGTTTGTATTGATTTTCACAATAATTGATCTTAATAGATTAATAACTGATTAAAATAAACGTATTGAAACAAAATTACTCATTAAGAGATAAGAGATTGCAAATTTAAACAAAAAAAACTGCTACAATCAGATTCCCATTTTAAGAGGAAAAACAACTAACAAAAGTTTTCTTGATTACAGTTGTTGTACATATCCGAATATATCATGACATATCACGTTGAAATCCTTATTAATTAGGCATTCGTTTAAGATATTAAGCATCAATATATCTCAATCTCTCCATATGATATAAAACAAAATATTCAAGCTTGATGTTAAATATTAGAAACTCTATCAATTCACTCGATGAAAAATGTCGTGTACACTGCATTAAAACAAGTTATATCGCATTCAAATCCTTATTATTCAAACTTTCTTTTAAGATATAACACATGAAAATATCTCAATTTTTCTAGAAGAGACAAGAGATTTACTCCAAGCCTAGTTTTCACCGATTGAAGCTGTTGTGAGTAACGTAGTCTTACCAACGTTGAGTCTTTCAATATAAATCTTCACATTACATCGATTTCCTTATAAATTAAGCGTTCTTTTAAGATATTATACATTGATATATCTTGAATTTCCCAATACTTACAAAATGATATGCATTTATTACGCTTTCCTCATTTTTAGCTATTACGAAAACTTTGATTACAACCGCTCTACATATCCGAATATACATAGCATATCACGAGATTATCACCTCAGATAACACGACATTTGTCTTTCGTTTAAGATATCATGCATCAATATATCTCAATCCCTCCATATGATATAAAACAAAATGTTAAAGCTTGGTGTTAAATATTAGAATCTCTGTCAATTCACTCGATGAAAAACGTTTCATATATTGCATTAAAGCAAGTTATATCACATTCAAATCCTTATTATTCAAATTTTATTCGATGATATAGCACATGAAAATATCTCAGTTTATCTAGTTTTATCTCTGTTTTGCGTAACGTGGTCTTACCAATGTTGCGTCCTTCAATCTGACTCATTACATTACATCGAATTCCTTATTTATTAACCCTTCTAAGATATTACACTTTCTTCCAGAAGAATGATCTAGAGAATGTTGAAAAATTAGCAAGAGAATGAAACGAGGAAAATGAGACTTTACAAACATGGGGAGCTTGAAAGAGACTCTAGACAACAGAAAGGGATTAAGGAGAAAGAAAGAAGACTNGGGAGCCAACTGATTTGTTGATCGTTAATTCTGACAACGTGGTTTTGTTCTAATGATATCATTTTCTACCTCAATAATAACTCTGGCGCAATGTGATGGTAAAGCAGACTCATAATCTTTCTGAAAATAAATAAATTGTCTTTTGATTTATCATGGAATTGTCAGAAAGAAATGAAACTTGAACGAGTCTTGAAATAAATTAAAGTGACTGGCGGAAAGATGGACACAAAGGGGGCTTCTAATACAATGATTAGACTGGAAAATTCAGAATGAGACTTATAATAAAAGAATGAGACTGAACAGAGACGGGAAATAGGAGGAGAGGACTTTTCAGGAAGAAAGGAAGCCAAAAAATCCTAGTAATAAAAGAAAGACACTGAACGGAGACTAGACAGAACGCCGAACGATTTTAAAAAAGCTAGAAGAAAGATCCTAAGCAGACGGTTGAAAAATTGGCAAAGGAAGGAAAAGAGGAAAATGAGACTCTACAAACATGGGGGGCTTGAAAGAGACTCTAGACAACAGAAAGCAGACTGGAAAGAGGGTGGTAATTGAAAAAAGACATGGACAAGATACTGGAAAAAGAAAATAAGACATTGCAGAAATAAGGAAGAGTACAAGTATTTTGGTAATAGAGGAAAAAGACTGAATGGAGATTGGAAAGTGAAGAAGAATACTTAGCAGAATTCCGGAAAACCATAAAGAAGCTTGTAATAGAATAGCCCAGATAAAGCAACACGTGTTGTTTTAAGTTGTATATACCTCCATAATTTTTTAAGAAAAAGTAAAACGTCTCCAAAAATGTATACACCACCTGGCACTTATGATAATGTTCTCAGTACGCAGTTACAAAGAGAATCTTTAATCCCTTTAAAAAGAATGCCTAGAAAGTCTTCTGCCCATAATGAACAGACTAGGCAAGAATTTATGGAGTATTTTACAACATCGGGTAATATACACAAATAATTATAAAATTTGTATACAAAAATAAATCTTATTTTCACTATTATTAGTAGTTACCGTGGCTTGTTTACCTCATTAGTATTTTGGGTCTCCTAGGTTTAAATTTATCCATTAGAAACATAAGACTTAAAAGCACACCACGTAGAATAATAAATTTCGACAGTCTCATTGCCTGACTTTCTTTTAGTACCTTCTTTTTGTTTTTCTCGTCTAAATGATGTGAGAAGCAAAAGATTTTATTCCATACATTCGTTTTTTTTGTTATTTTACACAATTTTGACTTCAGATCGTATAAACATGTTTCGCTCCTATATAATTCAATTTAACTCAAGTGTTTTTTCGTTTGTCCATTTCATGGTTGTTAATCTTATAGCTTACAACACTAAACGAATTCGTTCGTTCGTTACTGTTCGCTCTGATTTAAAGGCACCTTAAGATGAAATCCGCGAATTCTTAAGCTTTCTTATTATTACAAACCATAGTCTTATAGCCGATTCTAGAAAACTTTATTATAACAGGTCTGGAACTGTTTCCGGCTTTTCCTACCTGGTGAGCAACCTCAACTGCATCCAAAAGAAGATCCATCTCGAGCTTTTAGTTAATAATATTCGTTGCTACGGCAGCGTCTACATTTTCGCACTCCCTTTCTTCTAAAGTCTAGAATCTAAACCAAACAGCCAGACGTTCGAACGCCGAGTGTACTGTTCGATGCGATCGTGGTCTTTACGCAGTTTACCTCTTTCCAACTCGTCAATCCTTTTCTACTGGCTCTCGAGAAGATTTGCAACACTTGCTTCGATACGTGAAGCCAGTTTTTCCGATATCAAGTCGTAGTATTCACTATTTTCCGACGAGGCAGTCTTTTAATCTTTGTTTTAATACATTTTTTATTTCGGTTATTTGATTATCATCGAAAGCGGACATGATTATGAAAATGTTCTATTAGCTTATACAGAAAAAACTACTTTTAACTTGTACTCTTCGTTATAAAAATTGATAAATACACTCCGTCGATGCACAAACGATTATTCACGTCGCGCCAGTAATTAGCGAGTAAGCCAAATAAATATGATCTCCAAAAATAGCAGGTGTTAATGCCAAAATGAATCATGTCAAAAAAATCAAAATCATGTTAAGTAAGTACGCACCATTATAACCATATTGGCCTGTTACTACCAAACCAATGCTATCTATCAGTTAAGCTATCTATAAGATACAATTTATCTCGTAGATAACAGGGTCGTCCGTACTACCACCTCCATTTATCTCATAGTTAAGAAATCCTTGAGATAATCAAGGAATCTAGGGATTTTTTGGTCTATTATGTTAAATTGATAGCTCTATGTGGTCAAAAGACCTACTATTAGGTATTTTGACGATATTCTAACCTGCTCTAACGTTAAAATTAAAATTTGGAAATGGAGACTGAGAAAATGCGACGAAACACCAATTTCATCAAAGAAGAATCTCGTATTATTGTATGTTAAAATGTATGGTAAACAATAATGGCACAACTAACATGATGAACGACTGAAGATGCCAGTTGTACACTCATTCCTGCAAAATCTGCTATGGATAGGAACATCTTACCTATTGCATAAAACCGAAGAGTCAGCAACAAACGGTTTGAAGGAGGTACAGCATTATTACTAAAATTTTGATGGATTTTACATTAAATAATAGCAATCAACAAATTACTTACATCATGGATAGAGGTTTTATTACATTTTCTATTTGATTTAAAAGGTGATGAAAACTTTTTTTCGAGATACGAAATATCGTCATAAATTCAACATCTGAATGAATATTTAAATGGTCAACTCTAGTCCTTATTATCTTTTCGCTTCTTATAGGAAATAATTCATTGATTTCAGCAAAAATTTGTTCTTCATCTCCAATGTCGAAGAAATTATCCATGATGATTTTATCTAATGTTAATTATTAATAGTTTTTTATTTTAGTTTTAATTTTTAATAGTTTTATATTTTTATTAGTTTATACTACTTTTCTTATTTTAACTGAAATAGTAAAACGCTCGAATTTTATACATCAGTATAAATTCTATTTGGGGTTAGGTATCCGCAGTTATCCCTTAGATAGCAACTTATCCGACACCGAATCCACGGGTTACAGATATTTCAAAAGTTATCCCTTGGATAGCGGTATCTATAAGATAAATACAGTGGTAGTAACCAACTTTTAAGCTATCCGATAGGTAACGCTATCAGCGACTTTAACTGAGTGGTAGTAGTGGGCCTTAAACAGTCAACAGGAGCTAAGATAAAGTTAGAAATTAATTTCAATGCCGATATTTTTATTGGAATAATATTTTAAAACTCATATAACTTTGTTTTTATTATCAATATTGAATACAATTATCAAATTAACTTTATTAATTTTATATTTAATCATCATCGGTACACTTTATTGGTCCACACCCTTCAAAGCACATTCCATTCTCTTCACAACTCTGTTCAGTGCATATAACTTTACATGGATAATAATCTTTATCTAATGGGCAAGAATTAGCTACAAAATGAAAAGAGTGAAAATAATTTTGGATTGGTAAAACAAATTATTTCTTACGACAAATTGAGTCACTTCTCCAATTAACCACAACTCCCACATCGTTGCATTCTTGGGCATAAGCACCGATAGATTGGCAATAATAATCACTTCTTTCCGATTCAGGTAAACTTAGTTGTGATTTAGCATCGATTATGCATCTATTAAAGTAATCATCAACTGGTTTTAAGAATCTGCATTCTCTGAAAATGTTGGTGTAAAGAATGTTGCATTGATGCTCTGGAAACATTCCATTAACAGGCTGAAATGAAATCCATTAATTAGAATGTAAAGAAGGTTTAGAGAAAGTTACTGTTAATTCTGTTGATTTTCCGCAAGTTCTATCATTCGTGTTAAAATCAACAAACTCAGAGGGAGTTTCGATTCCAAGAATTTTTAAATCATTACTTGGATCGTTATCGTATTTTCCACATAAACCAAAATGCTCCTTTGATAACCACTCTTGAGAAAGGTGGATATGAACCCATCCATCTCTATTCCAAACAATCCTAACATCAAAATCAAGCACATCAATGAAAGTTGAAAGACCCATATCGGTTATGTTTAATTGGGTTAAATTGGTGCTTGAAAAGAAATCGTTTTGAGTGAAGAAAACGTTCTCTGTGTGACCAGAATTTGATCTGAATAAAATGGATAAACGTTGGATGCAAGAACCAGATGGGCAACTACCGGCCATAATGGTAACTCTAATAACTCCGCTATCTTCAAAGTTATGCTCGAATATGGTGTATTCGCAAAACCCGGTGAAGGTGTAAAAGGTTTCGTCGAAACTTCGAACGTGGATGTTTCCCCAAACGCTACATTTTTCCCAATGATCCGATTGTGGGGAACATTCCCAAAGGCCATAAACACAAACGCATCTTTCATTTCTGTTGTTGATGATTGCATCATCTGGGTGGCTAATACCTTGATGGAGACATGGGCAATCTTCTGGTTTTACGCATTTATTTAGTTCTGTGTCCATGATGTATCCCTGCATACATTCGCAACCAGATTGGCAACCATCAAAGTTAGGGCGTTCATTTAAATGGATATTCTAAAAAATAAATCTTGTATTATAATTAAAGTGAGATAATTAAAAATTAAGTTTTACCCAACAATTTACTTCATTTATTCGTTTGCACCCTGAAAATACAAGAAAATCTTCGCGGTAACACTTATTTTCAAAATCCTCAAGACTTGGATAATCGATTAAATCTTCATCAGTAGCTGGTGTAATCGTCCATAAAGCATTTTCGCAAACACTAATCACAAAAATTAAAAATATCGTTTTGTTTTAATTAAAAATACTTACTGTTTGTTATTTTTATCATCGTTGGTTTCAATAAAAGTAAAATTAGCCGGATATCTCGTATTATCCAAAACACACGGGCACTCAGCTATTTGAATACATTGATCATTATTATCCAAAGTTTGCCCCGGTGGGCAATTACACCCGTCGATACATCGAGATGTACAAGTTGGATTAGCTGAAATATCATCGCAACCCCTCGTGCAAGAATTACCACAAATTTGGTATTTTTGTCCCGAAGGACATTGAATGCCGCATTCAGGGATTTCTTCACGCCAATCAATCAAAATTCCTCTAGCGGCGCACATCTCACCTTGTTGGGCATAAAAATCACAAAGACAACTTGGACTCTACAAAATATTTTTCTTAAAATAACAACTATTAAGTATATGATGATATTTACATCATCAGGGCACATACACCCATCGAAAACGCACTCTTCGTAAGACGACTCAACATCATCGGAACATCCTTAAATTAATACTCATTTAGTTGTAAAAAATAATACAGATTTAATTTAATTTACCTTCGAATAAAGGACTCTTTAAAACAGCACAATTTTTTTCTGAAATTGGTTTCATGGCAGGGTTAACATCACAAGGATGCGGGACGGGGTCTGTATTTACATTTTCAGAACCACAACTTCCCGGGACAACCCAAGAATGCCCGAATGTGTTTGCATCGTTGACGATTGTGCCATTTGGTAATGTAAAATCGTCTGATTGATCTTTGTTGTATGTTCCAAAGAGACCCTAAAATTTCATTTTTTTTATAATAAATTATTAAAACATTGATTTTAAAATAGTTACATAAATATGACCCCTCATTGTTGTTGGAACGCTAACGGTGATTCTGTCATAGCCGCTCCACGAGATGCCAACATGATTTCTTAATGTTACTATTAAGAATTAAACAAAATTAAGATTAATAATGTAAACAGAAATAATTTTATACCTTGTGTAAATTGACTGCTTGGTCTGGATATTTGTATTCCGGAAACTGAGTGTGGGAGCCAACTGATTTGTTGATCGTTAATTCTGACAACGTGGTTTTGTTCTAATGATATCATTTTCTACCTCAANTAGAAGAAATAGACTTAATAGAGATTGGAAAAAAAGGGGAGACTATAAAAAGAAGGGAGACCAGAAAAATCCTGGTAATAGAAGAAAGAAACTGTACAGAGACTGGAAAGTGAAGAAGAATACTTAGCAGAATTCCGGAATATCATAAAGAAGTTTGTAATAGAATAAAGAGACTGGATAGACAAGAAAGAAACTGAGCGGAATACGGGAAGATTGGAAAAAGATTAATCGGACGAAGATTAATGGGCAGAAAGAAGGGAGACCAGAAAATTCTGACATTAAAAGAAAGGGCCTGAACAAAGATTGTAATTTGAAGATGGCAACTGGATAGAATGCCGTAAGACTGGAAAGAGACATGTAATAGAAGAAACAGACTGGAAAGAGGAAATGGGGACTTTGGAGAAAGAACGGAGATCAGAAAAATTCTAGTAATAGAGGTAAGATAGTCTCTTTCTGCTATTACCAACATTTTTACAAAGACTGGATAAAGAAGATGAATAGTGGGCAGAATGCTGGAAGACTTCAAGAGGTTTGTAGTAGATGAAAGAGACTGGACAGAATGATAGAAGACTGGAAAGAGGCTTGTGATATATCGTGAGTTTCCCAATACTTACAAAATGATATGCACCGTTATGATGGACTTCATCAGTCAACAGGAGCTAAGAAAAAGCTCTAAATTATTTTCAATGCCTATATTTTTATTGGAATAATATTTTAAAACTCATATAACTTTGTTTTTATTATCAATATTGAATACAATTATCAAATTAACTTTATTAATTTTATATTTAATCATCATCGGTACACTTTATTGGTCCACACCCTTCAAAGCACATTCCATTCTCTTCACAACTCTGTTCAGTGCATATAACTTTACATGGATAATAATCTTTATCTAATGGGCAAGAATTAGCTACAAAATGAAAAGAGTGAAAATAATTTTGGATTGGTAAAAGAAATTATTTCTTACGACAAATTGAGTCACTTCTCCAATTAACCACAACTCCCACATCGTTGCATTCTTGGGCATAAGCACCGATAGATTGGCAATAATAATCACTTCTTTCCGATTCAGGTAAACTTAGTTGTGATTTAGCATCGATTATGCATCTATTAAAGTAATCATCAACTGGTTTTAAGAATCTGCATTCTCTGAAAATGTTGGTGTAAAGAATGTTGCATTGATGCTCTGGAAACATTCCATTAACAGGCTGAAATGAAATCCATTAATTAGAATGTAAAGAAGGTTTAGAGAAAGTTACTGTTAATTCTGTTGATTTTCCGCAAGTTCTATCATTCGTGTTAAAATCAACAAACTCAGAGGGAGTTTCGATTCCAAGAATTTTTAAATCATTACTTGGATCGTTATCGTATTTTCCACATAAACCAAAATGCTCCTTTGATAACCACTCTTGAGAAAGGTGGATATGAACCCATCCATCTCTATTCCAAACAATCCTAACATCAAAATCAAGCACATCAATGAAAGTTGAAAGACCCATATCGGTTATGTTTAATTGGGTTAAATTGGTGCTTGAAAAGAAATCGTTTTGAGTGAAGAAAACGTTCTCTGTGTGACCAGAATTTGATCTGAATAAAATGGATAAACGTTGGATGCAAGAACCAGATGGGCAACTACCGGCCATAATGGTAACTCTAATAACTCCGCTATCTTCAAAGTTATGCTCGAATATGGTGTATTCGCAAAACCCGGTGAAGGTGTAAAAGGTTTCGTCGAAACTTCGAACGTGGATGTTTCCCCAAACGCTACATTTTTCCCAATGATCCGATTGTGGGGAACATTCCCAATGGCCATAAACACAAACGCATCTTTCGTTTCTGTTGTTGATGATTGCATCATCTGGGTGGCTAATACCTTGATGGAGACATGGGCAATCTTCTGGTTTTACGCATTTATTTAGTTCTGTGTCCATGATGTATCCCTGCATACATTCGCAACCAGATTGGCAACCATCAAAGTTAGGGCGTTCATTTAAATGGATATTCTAAAAAATAAATCTTGTATTATAATTAAAGTGAGATAATTAAAAATTAAGTTTTACCCAACAATTTACTTCATTAATTCGTTTGCACCCTGAAAATACAAGAAAATCTTCGCGGTAACACTTATTTTCAAAATCCTCAAGACTTGGGTAATCGATTAAATCTTCGTCAGTAGCTGGTGTAATCGTCCATAAAGCATTTTCGCAAACACTAATCACAAAAATTAAAAATATCGTTTTGTTTTAATTAAAAATACTTACTGTTTGTTATTTTTATCATCGTTGGTTTCAATAAAAGTAAAATTAGCCGGATATCTCGTATTATCCAAAACACACGGGCACTCAGCTATTTGAATACATTGATCATTATTATCCAAAGTTTGCCCCGGTGGGCAATTACACCCGTCGATACATCGAGATGTACAAGTTGGATTAGCTGAAATATCATCGCAACCCCTCGTGCAAGAATTACCACAAATTTGGTATTTTTGTCCCGAAGGACATTGAATGCCGCATTCAGGGATTTCTTCACGCCAATCAATCAAAATTCCTCTAGCGGCGCACATCTCACCTTGTTGGGCATAAAAATCACAAAGACAACTTGGACTCTACAAAATATTTTTCTTAAAATAACAACTATTAAGTATATGATGATATTTACATCATCAGGGCACATACACCCATCGAAAACGCACTCTTCGTAAGACGACTCAACATCATCGGAACATCCTTAAATTAATACTCATTTAGTTGTAAAAAATAATACAGATTTAATTTAATTTACCTTCGAATAAAGGACTCTTTAAAACAGCACAATTTTTTTCTGAAATTGGTTTCATGGCAGGGTTAACATCACAAGGATGCGGGACGGGGTCTGTATTTACATTTTCAGAACCACAACTTCCCGGGACAACCCAAGAATGCCCGAATGTGTTTGCATCGTTGACGATTGTGCCATTTGGTAATGTAAAATCGTCTGATTGATCTTTGTTGTATGTTCCAAAGAGACCCTAAAATTTCATTTTTTTTATAATAAATTATTAAAACATTGATTTTAAAATAGTTACATAAATATGACCCCTCATTGTTGTTGGAACGCTAACGGTGATTCTGTCATAGCCGCTCCACGAGATGCCAACATGATTTCTTAATGTTACTATTAAGAATTAAACAAAATTAAGATTAATAATGTAAACAGAAATAATTTTATACCTTGTGTAAATTGACTGCTTGGTCTGGATATTTGTATTCCGGAAACTGAGTGTGGGAGCCAACTGATTTGTTGATCGTTAATTCTGACAACGTGGTTTTGTTCTAATGAGATGATATTATTTTCTACCTCAATAATAACTCTGGCGCAATGTGATGGTAAAGCAGACTCATAATCTTTCTGAAAATAAATAAATTGTCTTTTGATTTATCATGGGATTGTTAAGAAAGAAATGAAAGTTTAACGAGTCTTGAAATCGATTAAAGAGACTGGCGGAAAGAAGGAGGCTTCTAATACTAGAATTACCAGAAAAATCCTGGTAATAGAAGAAAGAAACTGTACAGAGACTGGAAAGTGAAGAAGAATACTTAGCAGAATTCGGGAAGACCATAAAGAGACGCTTGTAATAGAATAAAGAGACTGGATAGAGAAGAAAGAGACTGACCGGAATACGGGAAGATTGGAAAAAGATTAATCGGACGAAGATTAATCGGCAGAAAGAAGGGAGACCAAAAAAATTCTGACATTAAAAGAAAGAGGCTGCACAGAGATTGTAATTTGAAGATGGCAACTGGACAGAATGCCGTAAGACTGGAAAGAGACATGTAATAGAAGAAACAGACTGAACAGAGACTGGAAAGAGGAAATGGGGACTTTGGAGAAAGAGCGGAGATCAGAAAAATTCTAGTAATAGAGGTAAGATAGTCTATTTCTGCTATTACCAACATTTTTACAAACATTGGATAAAGAAGATGAATAGTGGGCAGAATGAAGACTTTACGAGGTTTGTTATAGATGAAAGAGACTGGAGAGGGAACAAAAAGATTGGACAGAATGATAGAAGACTGGAAAGAGGCTTGCGTTAAAAAAAAGAAACTGGATAGAAACCGGAAAGAGGATTGTATTAGAAGAAATAGACTGAACAGAGGGAAAAGGAGACTTTGTAGCAAGAAGGAAAACCACAATAATCCTGAAACTAGAAGAAAGATATTGAACAGAGATAGGAGAGATAAGATGGAGACTGGCTAGAATGCCGTAAGGCTGGAAAAAGGTTTGTAAAAGAAGAAACAGACTGAACAGAGACTGGAAAGAGAAGAAACACTTTACAGAAAGAAAGGAGACCAGACAAATCCAAAATCCATCATTTTATTCTTGGCTTTCATTTAATATATCACCTGTTGCCTCTTTTGTTACATAACCAGTATAACGTATTCGTTTTCTATATTTTTATTCTTTACATTTTTGTTTTATCAACGCTTCCTTCACTATATGTATTCATATTACTCTTTTTTAAGTACTTCAATACTACTTTAATTTTTTTAATATCACTATTAGGCTGGAAAACTCAGAAGGAGATTTATAATAAAAGAATGAGACTAAACAGAGTCGGGAAATAGGAGGAGAGGACTTTTCAGAAAAAAAGGAAGCCAAAATATCCTAGTAATAAAAGAAAGACACTGAACGAAGATGCTGAAAGATTTTAAAGAAGTTTATACTAGAAGAAAATAGTCTCTTTCTTCCAGAAGAATGATCTAGAGAATGTTGAAAAATTGGCAAGAGAATGAAACGAGGAAAATGAGACTTTACAAACATGGGGAGCTTGAAAGAGACTCTAGATAACAGAAAGGGATTAAGGAGAAAGAAAGAAGACTGGAAAAAGAAAATGCGATATTGCAAAAATGAGGAAGAGCACAAGTATTCTGGTAATAGAAAAAAGAAGCTGAATAGAGATTGGAAAAAAGTGGGGACTCTATAAAAAGAAGGGAGACCAGAAAAATCCTGGTAATAGAAGAAAGAAACTGTACAGAGACTGGAAAGTGAAGAAGAATACTTAGCAGAATTCCGGAATATCATAAAGAAGTTTATAATAGAATAAAGAGATTGGATAGACAAGAAAGAAACTGAGCGGAATACGGGAAGATTGGAAAAAGATTAATCGGACGAGGATTAATGGGCAGAAAGGAGGGAGACCAGAAAAATTCTAACATTAAAAGAAAGAGGCTGAACAGAGACTGTAATTTGAAGATGGCAACTGGACAGAATGCCGTAAGACTAGAAAGAGACATGTAATAGAAGAAACAGACTGAACAGAGACTGGAAATAGGAAATGGGGACTTTGGAGAAAGAACGGAGATCAGAAAAATTCTAGTAATAGAGGTAAGATAGTCTATTTCTGTTATTACCAACATTTTTACAAAGACTGGATAAAGAAGATGAATAGTGGGCAGAATGCTGGAAGACTTTACGAGGTTTGTAATAGATGAAAGAGACTGGACAGAATGATAGAAGACTGGAAAGAGGCTTGTGTTAAAAGAAAGAAACTGGATAGAAACCGGAAAGAGGAAAGGAATCGTTGCAGAAAGGAGGGAGGCCGGAAGAATTCTGGTAATAGAAGAAAAATACTGTACAAAGACTGGAGTGGGAAGAGAGAGACTGAATAAATGCTGGAAGACTGGAAAGAGGCTTATATTGGAAAAATTAGACTGAACAGAGAGAAAATGAGACTTTGTAGCAAGAAGGAAAGCCATAATAATTCTGAAATTAGAAGAAAGATATTGAACAGAGAGATAAGATGGAGACCGGCTAGAATGCCGTAAGGATGGAAAAAGGTTTGTAAAAGAAGAAACAGACGGAACACAGACTGGAAAGGGACGAAACATTTTGCAGCAAGAAAGGAGACCAGACAAATCCAAAATCCATCATTTTATTCTTGGCTTTCGTTTAATATATCACCTGTTGCCTCTTTTGTTACATAACCAGTAAAACGCCTTTATTTTCTATATTTTTATTCTTTACATTTTCGTTTCATCAGCGCTTCCTTCACTGTATGTATTCATATTACTCTTTGTGTACCGCTTTAGTATGCGTTGTTTATGTATCTAGGCTGTCTGCAGCACTTTTATATTACGAACGTTTACGTGTTCTGACCTTTCGTATTTTCTCTTATAACCACTTGATCCTCTTTCTACACTTATTTGAGCTCTATATTTTATCGAGTCCAATTTCGTAAAGATTCTTAACCATCGCGTAAGTACTTCTAATCCTACTTTAATTTCTACTACTCACTATTGCATCTCCATAGTTAGTAGTTCATTTATCTTCATGTTGTCTTTTACTTCTCCTACAGACCTTGTCCGCTTTCTTGTGTGCTTCTTTATAGATTTCTTCCCTTAGGCATGTTTGTCGTTTCGTATATTATATATAAGCATCATCTCTTTGCGTTATGTTGTCTCTATATTCTTTGCCTCTATGATCTTTGTTGTTCTTTGTCTTTACATCTAATGGAGTATTAGTTGAATGTTCCGGATTACCAATGCTCCCCACAACTCTACTCAGGCTGATAACAATGCTAAGTGCTTGGACTAAATGACCTAGAAAATATTGTAAATACGTTACTTTGAGCCAGTACACGAAGGCTACCGAGAAGAATATAACTAAGATAACCCTCTGGATTTATACGTCCATAAGTCGACCAATGCCAACTTATGGTGGTCTAAATCTTCAAAATATATCGGATAATGTGACTATATATACACCCATCATTATCTTCCCATTCCAACACATTATCTTATAACTAATTATAAGCCCGAAGTTCAAGCGATGTCATGAATACCGCTTCCCCCACTATCCGTGATAGGAGAAAAATTTTCTTTGAAGCTATATGAGTGATGGGCTCTGAGTGATGATATGAGTGAAGCTATATGAGGTCGCTTGTAGCCGAGACTGTACAATTACCAGCGCCCTGGTCATAAACAACCTTGACTAAATAAGAGCGGAAAATTTGTGACATTATCTAATTAAGGCGATGTCATTTGCGGCCGAAGCGCTACAATTGATATTATAACTATATATTATTGGATAAATACAAAATATTGCAGAATCTCGACTAGAAGCGATGTCCACTTAACTTTAAATGGAAATTGCACGACCATGACTGTTTAAGCCGAGGTCGTTTGCGACTGAGGTTTAGTAGTTGATACCACATCGGTATGGCATCGTACAACACATATTGCATTAACTTCAGATGAAGAATGAATGATTTCATGTGGTTAAGCCGAGGTCGCGTGCGGTTAAGGCGTTACGCTTGATATTGAATTGAACAAGAAAATTTGTCGCGCCTCGGTAGTAAATGAACCCGGCTCAACCACGCTTTGCTTGAAATTAAGCCGAAAATAGTTGGACAACAAATATTGCTGTGTCTAGGTTGCAAATGAACTCGCCTCAATTACGTTTTGTCTGAAACTATGTTGAGGTCGCTTACGACCGAGGTACACAGACAGGTTCGTCTATAACACAGAACATCAAATTCAAGCGATAGAAAAAATATCTTCAGAATGCCCTCAAGCTATTGCTGATTATGAATTGATTGGAAAAGGCAGAGAAAACGCAAAGGTTGTTAGAAAGAGAGGATTAGGACGACCTTCTGCTACAGCAAGATACCTTCTAAACGTCGGCGATCATTTGCCGGTAGAGGGAACTTCTCGTAGAAAATGCCATAGATGTTCGCTGCAGAAAAAAGAATTTCGAACGAAGACCTTGTGTACCATGTGCCATATACCGTTATGTAAAAATTGTTTCATTCCGTTCCATACATAATATTTCATTAGTTTGTAAGTAATATTGTGTTTTTGAATAAAGCTTTTGCAACTGTTAGGACAGTGATGGCGAACCTATGACACGTGTGTCAGAGGTGACACGCGAATTGATTTTGAATGACATACCTCCATTGAGACAAGAAATTCCATAATTCAATTTATATTAATTAGTTAATTAGGTTTCATAGTTAGGTTAGCTAGTTTAGCAGATCAGAAAGTTACATCTTTCGTGATTTTTTTATTTTACCAGCCGCCTAATGAAAATCAAAAAAATAAAAAAGATTGGATGATAACAAGTGCGGAAGTACCAGTAGCCGACCTTTCCAAGATATATGGACAGAGATGTACGGAATTGTCGACAGAAACAACAGAGCACTTTGAAACTACTCATTGTGAGCTCTTGAAGAAAACTATGAATTTCTATCAAATTCCATCGTTAAATTTGTAAAAAACTCTACCAATTTAGTATATTGTTTACTAAGAGTTTTGAAAATTTTTACACGTCTAGTTCAAAAGGTTCGCCATCACTGTCATCATTTCAAGTATGCAACCAATATCACAGTATAATTTAATAGTATATATATAATACGCGATTTGCGTATTGCAATACCAATACTGTGATATTGGTTGCATACTTGCAATGATGGCGTCGGGTACGATAATTAATTAACACTGTGTATGTCTAACACAGTGATGGCGAACCTTTTGAATTGGACGTGTCAAAATTTTGAAAACTTTTAGTAAACAATATGCTGCCGTGTCATATATAAAAATTTTAATAAGTATTTGGAATTTTCAGATAAAAAAAGATTTATTTTTTGCAGTATTTAACCCAAAGAATAACATCTCACAGTAATACGTTGAAGAATATATTGTTAATAACGCCATTGTTAGATTCTTTATGTTACTAAATGTTACTGTCAGATAATCTGTTCTAAGCATTCAAAATTTCTAGTTCGTAGTTGCACTCTTCTTCATTATTTAAACGATTCCGCTCCAAATTTTTAAGCTTCACGCTTAACTCAACGAATATTTGAAATCATATATTGAAAATCATTTAAATCTAAAGTATTGTAAGTAACTACATCCGGATATTTAATAATTTTAATGTTCTCTTCCAGGCTTCTAAATTGGTTAAATCTTTCGCTGAACTGTTCAGATAATGAATTTATTATATTCTCGCTTATGGAGAGGTCGAGCAGTGATAAAATTAACAACTTATGTTACATCAGACATTACATTATTCAGTTATGAAAATCCTGTTTTAGCACACAATACCTCCTGAAGGATAATGCAATAGAATGGTACAATAAGATCTCTAACAGTTTCCATAAACAATTTCACGAATCCCACATCTTTTCCAACCATATTTTGTGCCCCATCTGTTATGACATGACCGACACAATTTTAAAGATATTAATGCTTAAGTCACTGAGCGTTTCTATAACAAGCTTACATACATATTTCGTTTTCTGATGTACTTATTGGCACTGATTCTAACTTTATCAACTCTTCTCTCATAGTAAGGACATCAGAATATCTCGCAATAATGGTCAACCGAGCATTTGATGTGATGTTAATGGTTTTATCAAGAGAAATCGAAAAATAGTTAGAATTATTTAAGTCTTTTTTTTAGTTGATGTTGTACGTTTTTATTAAGATGTATTATTCTTTCTTTCTTTTCTATGGAATAAGCAACATAATAACTTGCTGATGCTAAATTGGTAGAGCTTTTTACAAATTTAACGATATATCACAGTATAATTTAATAATATATAATACGCGATTTGCGTATTGCAATACCAATACTGTGATATTGGTTGCATACCAATGCCATCATTGCAAGATGGCGTCGTGTACGATAATTAATTAACACACTGTATATGTCCCAATTTAAAACACTGGTGGGACAACATGTCCCAGAGTTAATTTGATTTTAGATTAATAAAAAAAATGGAGGAGCCTTTGCAGACCCTTAATATGCTATATTGACTCCATTTATTCCTTGAAACCTAATATGGGCGACAAAAAAAAAGTCGGTACGAAAGGGTTAATCCAGAACAGAAAGGTTGGTATTAAGATGATCCACCGCATTCGAGAAGTTATCTACGTGCTACATTTTACTCTTATCCCAAAACCAACAGCAACTCAATATAGCCCTTTAGCCCTTTCCATCACTCTTTTCAGTTGCGATCCTTGTATCTCGTCTCCCGCGATTGACTAACACATAGTAGATGGAGGGTTAGAGCAGGCGTTGGTTCTTCCTGTCCTGGATGGGTTTTAAACCATTCTCTTTGGCCATCCATTGTGGTAACAACCGATGTTGTAAATGTGATACGAAGACAAAAAAATTTCTGTGGGTTCGGACTAATTTCAATAATAGCTTTCTCAATCAAGTCAGTATTGAAATGAAAATCACAACTAGTTTAATGTTTTAAGTCTGCCTTGACTTGAATTAAGAACCATATTTTGGTTATCATACTTACCACAAATGCATTCGATCTTCGTATAAAATGATCACATATAATATCAAATCCGTTCCCTCTAACAACATAATAAGAACATTTTCCCATAAAATCGTACTTTCTTCCATCGAAAGTGGTGAAATGAGGATCTCCCCAACATCCTCCTTCGTCAGTACAAATTTTCTAAAAAAAATTAGAAATAATTCTTATTGATATTAAATTTGAAACCTAAGAACATACTTCTGTGCATTGCCATTGCCCGTTTTCACAAACACATGTATTACATTCTTGAGGAGGCAAATCTGGGACAGATGACCCAGGTTCGTACCATTTCCCATCTCGATAACACGGACAATCTTCAGCATAAATACATTTCCCTTCGTGAAGTTTCATACCCGGTGGGCAATAACAACCTTCTTCACAACTATGTTGTGATGAATGTTCGATTTTATCATCTCCGCAAGATATTTGTCCATCATTTGGGGCACATGGATAAAATTTTTTATCGATATTTGTGCAATTAATTGCTAAAAAGTAAATTAAAATAACTTGATGAGATTGAAAATGTTATCTTACGGCATAAATCTTCATCTCTCCAATCCGTAGCTGTATTTGTGTTAACATTGCAAGTTTTAACAAAGGCATCTAACATATCGCACATACATTCCCTTCGATTAAGAAGTTTGCATTCGCAATATAACGAAATACAAATATCTCGGAAATCAACCGAATAATCCCAACATTCTGAGAATTGTTTCAACGCGAAAAGATCGGTGCAATAATTTAAAGCTTCTGCGTTTAAATTATCGTCATCCCCACAATCGTTTTCGAAAGGTTCGGTTTTACAAAGATCTAAAAAAAATTAATTAATAACAATAAGGAATGATTCTAATATTGTTTTTACCTAAAGTCCAACTATTTGCGTAACAAATTTGGGAGTCTGTTGTATTTCCATCTGCTGTTATCAGATCGTTATCGGCGCAGCCATCATTGTTTCCACAAAAACCTATCATTTTATGATCGAAATTTTCGTTATCTTGCACTATTTGAACCGTCTAAAATGAAAGAATTAGATTTGGGTTAAAAATATTAACATTATTTACATTTCCATCGAATCTAATTCGCATCCCAATATCATTGAGTTCGATAACAACCATTCTTCCAGGTTTTGAAATAATTAATTCATCAAAATTATGTGGGATGTTGTATTCAAATCCATCTTTTGTAAAATGAATCAAAGATTCTGATATAGTTAATGTATAAATATTCCCGGAATATTTAATTTGTAAAGCTGTTGGATCTCTCAATAAATTAACGTCTAATTTTGCAGATTCAATCGATACCAATTTGTATTCACACGTTGATTCAAAATTATAAACGTTTCCATCGAAAGTTTTTACGTGGATTTCACCGAAAACGACGCAATCCGAAATTTCCTTATTTAAATAAATTAATTAATTAAAAAGTTATTGATTGAAATATTCTTACATTTCTTTCGCATTCTTTAGTGGTTTTTGTAGATTGAATTGCACTAACAATAAGATTAATAGTTGATAATATAAAAACTAATTTTAAAGTTTTCGCTAGCATTTTGATTGATACTGAAACGAGAATATCTGTGATCTCGTTTATATAGTGCAATTTCGGTGTTTATTTCAATAAAGGTGATGGGTATTTGTTGGTTTATAACGTAATTGTGCGTTCATTCGGGAAATTTTTAAGATAAAAAGATTGGAATAGGATCTTTAAGGTGTAATAAATACGAGGATTAATCTATGAATGTCTCACAGGAAATAAAATATATCTTTCGTTTTGTTATCGAGGCTTATAAGTATTTATTTTGGATTAAATGAAGTTTAAACATTGGAATTCTAGGAAAAATTTTTTAATAATATGTTATTTTATTCAACCAACAAATTTTTAATCGCTCTTTTAAACATATTATTAAACACCTTATTTTAAAAAGTGCGTTTTCTTTGAAGTCTTTTTTATCATTCAATAATCGAAAAGTTTTCTATGGATCATGTATTCATGATTGGTTCAATAAGGACATAAGAATCTTGAGAAATAAACTTCAATTGATAACCTCCCTGTATAAGCAACATCCGCGACTTGTTACGAAACAAATGTTGAATAAACATAGAAAAGTTGACAAAAATTATATAAAAAACTCTAAAAATATACAGAAGGCAACTTGGGCAGTAATTTCTTCAAGCAATCCCACAAAGAAAAGGGGCCCATACATGGTGATGCAAAACTGAAGCATCTTTGCATGCGAGCAAATGTGAAACGTAAATGATGGAACACACGGTTCAAATTTGCTTGTCAATTTTAGTAACAGTTTCATAGTGAGTTGCGACTTGTTAACTATAATGAATGTAATACGGCAACATCATTTATATTTAATTGCTACTGCTATCGCAATAGTAGTGAAGAAGAAGAAAGAAAGCAAGAGATCGAAATGGGTAAAAAATTAGCTGAAAAACGGAAACAGTATTCTCATATATTATACAGCAAGACGATCGAAAATACTCGTTAATACGAGACGTATTAATATATTTTATTGTCGTAATAAACCATTACTACAAAACGTCATTGAATACACAAGAAATAAAAATGAAATATCAATAATACAAATATACATTTCATGGCAATTACACACTAAACATTACGCATTAAAATGGTGAGACTGAACTATCGTGAGATATTCCTCGCACGAATAGAAAACGTTTTCCATCAAATATTCTTTTATTTTCCTCTTAAGCCGTTGCCTAGACAGCGCAGTCTGCTACGGCGGTAGTTCGTTGTACAGTTTTGGACCCCAGTAATCCACATACTTTTGCGTTGATGCAATTCTGTGGTACGGTACCTGGTATTGGTGTCGTGATCTTGTCAGATAGCTATGGGTACCACCATTGGAGGGAAAACTGTCTCTGTTAGCATGAACATGCAGCAATGCCGTAAGTATATATATGCTTGGTAAGGTAAGTATATTCTCATATTTAA